ATAATAATAATAATAATAATAATAATAATAGTAAAGTTGGAAGGGACCTTGGAGGTCATCTAGTCCAACCCCCTGCTCAGGCAGGAAACCCTATACCATTTCGGACAAATGGCTGTCCAGTCTCTTCTTAAAAACTTCCAGTGTTGGAGCATTCACCGCTTCTGGAGGCAGGTTGTTCCACTGGTTAATTGTTCTCACTCTCAGGAAGTTTCTCCTTAGTTCTAGGTTGCTTCTCTCCTTGCTTAGTTTCCACCTGTTGCTTCTTGTCCTGCCTTCAGGTGCTTTGGAGAATAGCTTGACTCCCTCTTCTTTGGGGCAGCCCCTGAGATACTGGAACACTGCTGTCATGTCCCCCCTCGTCCTTCTCTTCATTAAACTAGACATACCCAATTCCAGCAGCCTTTCCTTATATGTTTTAGCCTCCAGTCCCCTCATCATCTTTGTTGCTCTTCTCTGTACTCTTTCTAGAGTCTTAGCATCTTTTTTACATCGCGGTGACCAAAACTGGGTGCAGTATTCCAAGTGTGGCCTTACCAAGGCATTGTAAAGTGGTATTAACACTTCACGTGATTTCCTTAACAACCATCTCTCTTAGCAGTGGAAATTCTAGTCTCAATTGTCGTCATAAATCAAGGACTACCTCTATGTGGAACCAATCCCACCTTTCTTGGGACAATGGCAAACCAAGCTGCTGTTTTAATAGCCAGCAATAGAGGCCTTATTAGATAAGCGCAGATAAGGGGGTCTATCCTTAGAGCAGCCTTCTTTAACCAAGTACCCTCCAAACATTTGAATTTCACCCTCTATTACCCATTCATGTTCTCTGGTCTGGAGGGAGCTTTTGTCCCGCATGTATGGAAGATGCTCCCATTGAATCAGTTGCTGTATAAGACACTCTCCCATAAACTAGCCATCTGTTTTTAAAAACAGAATGACTGGCCAGCAAATCTAACAATGTGTTCGTTATTAAATATATATATATAATAATAATCAGCCTGATTGAATCAGATGAACAAAATGTTCCATCATGCTGGAGGCTAGGAGAAGCAGTATGGGGTTTTGGGAAATTAACTGAAAGCACTTCTCCCAAGAATGGCCTGTTACTTATTTATTTTTCTTGTGGTTATTTCGATTCTTGAGACTGAAATTGCCTTTGATCGTCCCTCTTGCTGGTTAGGTTAATCCTCCCTCTGAGCTGGATGAAGAAAGTTCAACATCCGGGAGCAAAGAATGCAGTTGCTTCCTGCCCCCAACTACACATCATACAACTGACCGAGGACAAGCTAGTGGCTTTCCAGGATCTTCTGAACCACACAGAGAGCAGAAGACAGGTAGATCTGTTTCCAAGAGCAAAAACATGAGCTTTGAATGAGTTGTAGTATCAGTCAAGCATTAAACAAGAACACGACTCCTGTCTAGTTTTTTTGTGGAGTAAAAACAGCTTTAGGAAGTAGTATTTTAAGGAGCTGTTTTGGAAGTGGAACTCCCAAAGTTAAATTTTCTTCCAGATAAAAGTGTAAACCCTTCTTTTTAAATATGCAGCAAAAGTAATAAAT